ATACAAAATTACAACACACGATCAATGCGTTCCAACCCATCTTTACACTTTCCAAAGTTAATATGGTTTGGAAAATGATCAAGTTAGAAAAAAAAAATTATACATATAGATGAGTCAACATTGTGCAGCACAGACATAGTCACAGAATACAGTAAACATCCTAAACATGCATGTGCTCCAAGCTGTCCCTGCATTTTCCAAAGATAGTATTTCGAGAACATAGACTGCCCGGGTGTTTTTTATCTGGGCGTTTAATTTAATTTATTCAACAGACTGAGGCAAAGACATTTTGGAAATGCAAAGACAGCTTGGAGCGCTCTCAACTATCATGAACAACAAGTAATAGAACAAGAGCGACATTTAGAACAAATGGTTTTCCATGTCCTCGGACGATCAACGTCAAAGAATGTTTCAAGTTTGACCCGGTAGTAGTTCTTCAGTTTATATTTGAGTGTGGCAGTAGAGGTGGAGGATTTCAGATCTTCAGGAAGGTTGTTCCACAGAGGCACAATTCTGTTGAAGAAGGAACTTCTGAAATAGGCAGTTCTGCAAAGGTTGGGTCTGTAGCAATTGGTTGAACTGAAGCGGGTCAGATGATGGGTAGGGTGGTCGATATAATCTTCGGGGTTTAGGTCGTAGAGTCCAGATTTGATCTTGTAGAAACAAATAATATCTTTCATCTCATACCAGTACGAAATAGGGAGAAGGTTAAGAAGTTTCAGTCGGTCAGTGTAGGAAGAGTGGTAATCTTGAAGTATGTATTTGGACGCTCGTCGTTGAACACTTTCGATACGGAGAAGGTCCTTTGATGTTGATTGAGGCGCCCAAAGTTCACTTCCATAACACAGATGAGTTCTCACGAGTGCCAGATAGAGTGAGCGTCGACATTTCGTATCAGTCAGGTGGATACAGTTACGTCGGAGAAAACCAAGCATCTGATTTGCCTTTGACACGATACTGGTTATCTGAGGTGACCATTTTAAGTTGTTACTAATTATTATTCCGAGGTCCTTTTGGGAGGGTTTAAGGGTTATCGGTTCTTGGTTTAAACTGTATTCGGGTGACTCAATTAAACGTTTGCGGGAGAATCTGATTCCAATGCATTTTTTGAGATTAAACTTCAATTCTGAGGTAGAGGACCAATTGCAAAGGGATTGCAGGTCGGACTGAAGGAGTTGAGTGTCATGTGACGTTTCTATGACTCGATAACATTTGCTGTCGTCGGCAAACATGGGTACTTTGCTGTATTTAGCAGCGTCAGGGAGGTCGTTAACATAGACCAGGAAGAGTAGGGGGCCGACAATACTTCCTTGTGGTACTCCGGAGGTCACATCAAGATAGCTCGACGAAACACCATCTACTACAACACGTTGTTTTCGTCCCATTAAATAGTCGCTATACCAGTGCAAAAGCCGTCCTGTTATTCCAAATTGTTGGAGTTTCACAATTAGTTTATCGTGGGGAACAGAGACCTTAAACTGGAATTTAAAGTCAGGAATGATCAATTTAGAGATACAATTATGCGTAAAATTAGCCCTTTGGCGAGCAAAAGAACATCTTATATCGCGACAACGCATACCTTGTCAGCGATATACAGGGGCTATATTTCAATAATTAAAGTATAAATATTTGTATTCGAGTACAACCTTGGTCATTTCAAAATTAACAGACTAGAAATCTTACTGGTAACATGGCTGGCTGCCGATTATCTTGGATTTGAGGGTCTTGAACAAGATATTGCAAGATTTAATTATAAATGCACAAGATATACTGTACTGTAAACATGCATCTACTTGAAGAATGTAAAATGAACAGTGATGAGTGATGTAATATAATTCTGTACTTTAATATTTGGAAAACCTTTTTGGCAAATCTTGAGAATAATGGCTTTGGGAATCAATGTTGAAAATTAAAAACTGTCAGATAGCTGCATGGACAGCATGGTTAGAAGCATACATGTCATCGGATGAAACTCCAACTTTTGTTAATTGCTGATGTTCTAGTATTGGAATGAACAGTGTTATAAGAACCAATGGTGCTGAACTAATTTGGGTTTATTATAAAATATTGTTTATCATTTAGTTCTGGCCATTAACCTTACCTATTAAGTTATACATTGTGTCTTACTTTTTATTTTACTCTGGTGTGCACCCCCCCCCCAGGCTCTGGTCAACAGGGGTGCATGGGGGGGGGTGCAAAAATGACGTTTATCCTAATTCTAACCAACTTATGTTAAGGAATTCAGTTGCGTATCACTAAGTTGACAATAGTGGAATAGCCAATATTAAATATTCTGAATTTTTAAATGTTTTGAGAATCTAAAAATTTTCCAGAATGTTTTCTCAGAATGCTGGAAATGCCATTTCAGAGACCCAAATTTTAAAAATTTTCTGTGGTAGTATGCCCCCGGACCACCCTAGAAATCTCGCACCTTCGGCCCTCGTTTCGCCATTGGTTAGCACCCCCCAAAAAAACTTTGCTGGATCCACCACTGCACCAGATGATTTTATATGTTAGGATAGATCATTGGTGTTCAATGGATTATGTCATAATACACACTAGTTTGTTAACCTACTCTGTCTAATCATGCTAACACCATCATTGGCAATGGAATTGAGCAGTGATGTAGCCAGAATTTCTAATTAAGGCCTTCAAGGGGGACTGAAATCCCCAGGAGGGGCCTGCACTAGTTTGAATAAAGTTTGTTAGTATGTAAAAATATATTTGGACTCCCAAGCTATCCATGTATAATATAGTACAATGTAGACTTTTTAAATTCTAGTTAATAAAGTGCCATTTTGGGGGGCTATTTTAATGTGTTTTGGTGATTTGAAATAACCTTGCAGTTAACACATGTTCAACTCTAATTAATTACAAACAAGTTCAGAACATTTAAAATATTTTGACCCCCCACCCCCTCTGGTTACACCACTGGAATTGACTTGAGCCTTTTAGACCTCTGAATTTTAGTTGCAACTTAGAACAGTGTTCTGACATACAAGAAAATTGTAAGAAAATTTAAAATTTGTGCAAAAGCATTTCTCAAATAGGTCGTTCCAGAAAATATCCACACTCCTCCCCACAGAGGAAATTTCTGCCGTTCAGAGGGGGAGGGGGAAAAATTGTTTCTGATAATAGTAAATGTATTAGGACATCCAAAGGGGTAGAAGGGATTAACTTTCAATTTCCTCTGTGGGAGTGGTATGGGTGTTTTCTGGAATGACCCAATATAACTGTGTTTTTTTTTTCAAATCTAATCAAACTGTCAAATTGTCAATCCTTGTACATGGGGAGGGGAAATTTTGGAGAAAGAAAAATTGTGACCAATCAGGTTGGGGGTCCACCTGTAGGCCTGGTCATAGGCATACAGGGCTGGGCTCAATTGTTGGGCAGACTAGGCCAGTCGGGCAATATTTACTTCACAGTTGGGCAATATTGGCTTATTATAAAAATAAATATGAGAAATTATTCCCTCAATATTGGGGGAAATATGCTATATAATGGTCGAAAATTTAGTTCATTTTGATTAATAGTCATTTAATATATGTGCTATCAACAGTTTCTTTATGGTATTAAGTAACAGATTACAATGTTTGTACATTAGAGACTTAGAGGCACTAATAACTCAATAATAAATAGGCACTAATACAAACTCTGAGCCAGTGCACCCAGCATCCTCAAATTGGGAATAATTTGTAAATTTAAATATTTGTGTATAATTCATAATTTATCCTATTCCAATACAAAATGCAATAAATATAGAACACACAATTTATCAAATAAAGGTAAAAAAGGTATTAAAAACTTTATTATGTAATATTTACATTGAATATCGTGGTTGAAGTTGTAGATTTATACTTGAAATTTCAATTTTCGAACGAGAAATGTTTCGCTTTATTATGTTAATTAAATTTTTTACTTTGTTCGCCATTCTTGCTTATTTACAAATACAAATAGTCCATTTCTTCTTTTGCTCTTTTCAAAATAGCCCAGAATTTGGTTCAAAAAAGTATTTTCATGCAAAAACCAGCATTTAACTTTTGTATACACTCCTTGTGATAGCAGACATGTTGCCAAAATATCACCCGGTTAATGAATAACTTCCGGTACTTTCATTGTATTCGCATTGACCAATCAAATCACGTTCTGAGTTGGATTATCCCAGGGCTTCTGAGAGCAATAAGCGCAGAAGCCCTGGGTACGAGGTTGACTTGCGGATTGCACGTTTGAGAGTTAATCACTACTTAACTACAAAATAGTGATTAAAAAAGTGATTAAGAGTTTTATACAACCGGCCCCTGGACTATACTTGCGCTATGAAAATAGATCGAATAAAGCTTAAAAGCACCAGTGTATTGGAATACAACTTGCAGTGGCGGCGCAAGGGGGGGGCAAATGCCCCCCCAATATTATTTTTTGCCCCCCCATTTTGCCCCCCCTCAAAAAAAATTATTAGTCACTAAGAGCGACTAAAGGCTACACAAGCGTTCTGTCGTTATCGGAAAATGTATGGCTTATAAGTTGTCATTACTCATTAGTGAATGCGCGTATACATGAAACTGTTTTTTACAGTTTCAATATTAGTTTGTAAATCTCTGAATGGTAAAACTTGCCAATACTCCAATAATACGTTTCAAAAAAAGACAAAAAAGCTTTAGTTTTGAAGTGTTAAATTCTCAAACGTGTAAGGCAATAATAAGATGAAAGTATCACGAAATTATTTGAATAAACCACATCGCATATATGGGGGGCGAATGTCCTAAAGAGGAGCGATATTCCTAGGGTATTCGCCCCACCCCCCTGGGAGGCGATATTCCTAGGATATTCGCCCCCGGGGGCGATATTCCTAGGAATATCGCCACGTTTTGAGGGGGGGGGGCGAATTTCCTGGGAGGGGCGACCTTTTTAAAAATTCTATCTTGCCCCCCCAAAATTTGAGTTTGCCCCTCAAATGCCCCCCCAAATTTGGAAGCCTGGCGCCGCCACTGACAACTTGTCATGACTTACATATTTTGCTCTGAAAGTTATATGAATATGCCAATTACGCCAGAAGACTGTTTTCTTAATAAGAAAGAAAACCACAGAGCAGGTCTATGTGTTGACTTAAGCCCGTTCTCCACTAGGCGAATTTTTTCGCGCGACGAGAAGCGAAAAACAAATATTTGCAATGTGATTGGTCAGCGAAAAAATTCGCCGCGATTTTTCGCGGATCAGTTCCTACTTTTTTACTGTTCGCGCGAACAAATTCGCCTAGTAGAGAACGGGCTTTAAGCTGGTTTTCCACTTGCGAATTTTTTCGCGCGAAACGAATTTTCTTTTGTCTTTATCCAATTAATTCCACATGGTTCCAGTTGAGAAGCCAAAGACAAATGAAAAATTCGCTTCGCGCGAAAAAATTCGCAAGTGGAAAACCGGCTTTAGCGAGACAATTCTACGCTCATTCGCTCTCTTTAGAACCAGTTTTGCCGGTTTGATCGATGCCTGTATATACGTGTCATTTTGAGCCTTTCTGGAGACCTGGACAGTCGTTTGTTGCTACGTATGTTTTCGTAAAGTTCACTCTGTCAGGCTTATAATGGCACAAGTGGTTTTCCACATTCCCATCATCCTCGTTCCCAGGCCCGCATTCCCATTTTTGTGTCTGTCAGTTCCTTCCCAGAGGTTCCTTCCCATGCAGTCCCACGGCCATTTTCAAAGCCAAAAATAGACAAAACTCTGTTCCCATTTTGCCTCTTTAGGGCTCTCTATTATTCACTCGATATTCACAGCAATATCTGTTTATTATATGCACTCTTGCCCCCATGGGCTCGTTTTCATGTGGGTTTTTTCAGTTTCGTGCCCGGGATATATAACTTTCATATAAGCCTGTCATGCTAAAACAGCCAAACATATGAAAACAAGGCCATTGGGCGCGGAAATGTGATAAACAGTGAAGTATATACGCTTAGAGTTAGAAACAATCAAACTGAGAAAACTAAGGTCCCAGTATCGTGTGATACCGGATTCGTATCGGAGTTGTCTGCTATTACAACCTTTCATATATGAAGTTTTTGTTTAATTATGTTATATTATCATAATTTTAAGTGCCAAATTCACCTCGAAGCAGTAAAATTTGATGTCGCTCCGATCGAATCCGGTATCGTGTAACTGGGGCCTAAGTTGCATTTTTCGCAACTGCTCCAGTTAGGACTAATAAATGTATAAAGTCCACTCCATTTACTCAGGGTGCGATAATTCAATATTTTTAGCCGTACCTGACTGGTACTCCGACAACTTTTGCCGCGTACCTGATCTGGTACAAACTTAAGAGTCATGACGTACCTATAAGACTACAGCCCGTTCTCCACTAGGCGAATTTATTCGCGCGAACAGATAAAAAGTAGGA